TAGTAAATGCCATAAACAGCCGTCCTATGGGCCTACTTCTTAAAAGCTTCGATTTAGAAATCATTGAAGTGCCAGTCCCCACGCACCTCGAGATTTCGGGTAGGGATAGGGGTGGGCGGGTGAGGGTGGTGATAGTGTTTTACCATGTTCACTTTGTTGTTGGAATAAGATTTAGATAACAATCGTCTATTGGAAAATATAAGTGGGGGTTAAAAACAATAATATTTCATAGTCGAAAACCTAGAATGAATGGAGACAGTTGCTATTGTACCTGCTTGAGCAAATAGCTCACAGACTTTCGAGTAATGGCAGAAACACTTACTTGTATCCCCCCCCCCCCAAAAAAAAAAGTGTTTCAAGTATTGTTAACTAATGCTTAACAGGATTAAGATAACGACTTGCTACACTTTTCTCTTCGCCAATGAAATCCTGATAGTAATAGTTAAGTTGTAAATGAAGGTTTTCAAGAAACACTGAGACAAGGCAAAGGAACGTGATTTCTTTCGTACACTGGAAACAATTACAGTTGACTAGGATTTAGTCTGAAAGACACTTGTGGTAATCCAGTAGGTCACACTGATTTCTTGTGTACACTACGAGGCTTAACCCTTTGAGGACGTATCGGACACATAGGTACGATCAGCAGTAGAGCAAAGCAATGTTTTGGGATATTTCGAACCAACATACACAAACCAGAAACATTCCGTACTATGCATATTGTTGCATGTCTTTTAACGTTTCAAATTTAAGCAACAAAAAACTGGATTGAAAAAATCTGTTTGAAAGACGAAGCAGTGCTCCAAAACAGCATGTTTTCATGAGTTGTCGAATTTCCAGACTGCACGTCGTTAATCAGTTAAAACGAACTGGAGTAAGTAGTCTACACAGCAGAACTTTGCGTCAGTGAACAGTTTTTTATTTCTAAAATCCAAATTGGTATATTATGTTGGCCTATGTATATCATTCCCTTATCACTGTGGCCGACTGTCATTCTCTTCCAACAGTTTGGGAACCCCAGAGTGAAGATGGTGCCAATTTCGTCTGAAGCGCACAATTTGGCCCTTTAACTTTTAGCCTTACCCCAACATACAGACGTGACTAGCAGTGTTTTGTCACATTTAACGACTGCAATTGTATTGTGTGTATTGGTTTACACTTTTCTTTAAATATGTGTTTTCTCACTCTCATCGACACAATTTCGTTCTTTTTTTTTCTAGCACTAACCTTCGGCCTTGTATGTCAGAGCCAACCCTGGCATCCCAGCAGAAAGACCGAGATATTCGATAAAAATATCCCCACAGGGGGATCGAACCTGGGTCTCCTGCTTGCAGCAGTGAAACGTTTACCGTCTCCACCACAGACGCCGGTGATTTACCTTTAACTGTTGCACAAGCATTGTGACCCTAGAGGCACTTGGCGATAAATCTGTGGAGAACAAATTCGTAGCATTTTGCGTTTTTTTAAATGGGGAAATGGAGCTTATAATTATGTTTGTGTACTTTTACTTTGGGGGGGGGGGCGCTTTAGGGAGGGGGGGGGGGCACCGAAACTGACTCCTTTCCCCTGTCACCGTTCTACAGAAGTCCACCTTTTGTCTTTAATAATAGCATGTCCCTTTATTTGATCTTTCTGTTGCAATATTGGACAATCTGTCACGTCTGTCTACTCTAAAAGCTTCTTTTCTCCGGACTTCGGACGAAGACAGTCGCGTCACAAGTGACATCTCTCTTCTCTTTTGTATGCAAGATACTAAGTCTTGCCTTCTAATGTTGTGACAACCGTGACTATTTTCAAACTATTTAAATGGACATAGAAAGGCTTGCCGGAATGACCAGTGTCTTGACTGATATAAGCACCCTTTTGGCTGTTTCTATAGCTTAAAAAAGACAGCTCTTGTAAGTTCTAGGCCTATTTTTTTCACCAAGGGTCAACCAGTTCTGAGGAACGCTAAAATACCTTTAAATTTAACGTAATGGTATCCGTTATCATGATTAGCAAGAAACCTTGTCAGTCTCCAGGATCCCTAGCTTTTTTCAACTCTTTACATTTCATAGAAGTTTCCACAGTTGCTGGTGCACTGGGTCCTAAATGTGACAAATTAGAGGTCGTGTTGTACGATGCCTGCTATTGGACTTAATCTATCAAATAGAATAAGATGCTGCATATAAAAAAAAGGACACACGACTAAAGTACAAGAAGAGGTGTCAGAAGAAAATGAACAGAGAATGAGTCCACCAACTCGAAAACGGCTCTTTTTTTCATTATTGGAACTAATAAATGTATTGACGAAAGATCTTGGCTTGATATAGATAGGTCTCAAGATATCATCGATATGAACAGGGTAGGCTCGGACAGCTAAAATTCCTTGACAGAGTACTTCCAAAAGCACCCTCAACGTCTTTTGTTTTTCCTTCTCAAAATTTGAAATAAGAGAGCTCAGCAGTTTCAAAATTAACCACCTGGTCACAAGACGTAGATCTAGTTGTCAGACTCGAACGTGTCGTTTGGCATTCAGGTTTCATTAGCAGTGCAAGACTACACATAAATGTGCGCTGTGATAATTGGTTCCAGAATGAAACGTTTACTATGTTATATACGTTTCATGTATGACTTTCATTACATTTATGTTAAGGACAAACGATGAGGTGGAGAAAGGAGAATAGTTGTGAAGCGTATAGGCCTACGATGACGACTGATATCTCATTCTAAGGTTCATCATGTCTGATAAAATGAAGGTCAGAAAAGTTATGTCGATGTAAAACAAAGAACGGTTTACTCAACAGACAGACAAAATAAAAATGAAAAATGAACATGTTAATGACATGTTAATAGTACATGCATAAACTTGAATGCATTTCTTATTATTACTATTATAGTAACACGATAGGCAAGCTCTTAATTTGAAAAGAAATGTGGTACTGATATTTTGATGTAATAAAAACTATTTTTTTCATCAATATGGTGATTTACATTTAGAAATTAAAGCTCTGCACTATTTATAAAATAATCCCAAAGTTTAACACAGCCGTTAGTTAAAAGAAATGGTAGGTACCTGTGACAACAAAACACATCCTTTAGATAGTTGATTTATCAATCTAAAGTGCTTTTTCCAAGTGTCCAAAAAACAATTTTTACTCTACCCCTCCCTCCTGTCTCTCTTTCTTCCCCTCACTCCTTTTCCATCACACAAACAGACACAGACACACATGAGCACTCAAAGACACGCGCTCGCGTACAGAAACACACGCGCACGCACATGCACACACACACACACACACACACA